GCCAAGGCTAAACGCCATCAGACGCGTGGCTTGACAAGTTTCTGCCGTGGCTGCAATTTTCCGGTGTGCTAAACCGGCCATGAGTTTCATGCTGCCGATAATAGGAACACCTTTTGGACCGGGTATAGTTTTTGAATTGGTTTTTGATTTTCTCCATTTATGCTTGCCCCAAGCAGGACCACCCGGGTGTGCCCAAAAAACCAAATTCAAGATTAACCATGTTATTACAAAGAGTAATGCAACAAATATGTAGTTTAGGGAAGTGAAGGATTTGTATTTAGAAGCTAGACCAAAAACCCACAAACTCTCCACATATGTTCTCATTGTTAAGGCAGAAGAGAAGATGCAAAGAACTGCTTTTGAGGGTTTAAAATTAGAAGAAATTGGTTGGTTTATATAGGCGAGCAAGTGATGATCAGTAGTGAAACAGTTATTCTTCAAATTAGGACCGTAGAATTGAATTGTTTCACTTGTTATCTTCAAATTTTACTGAACTTTTGAGTAGCGCCGCCACTATTGCATGACAAAAGAGGAAAGAACCCACTGGACCGTTGCTTCTTGGTCATGCTTAAGCGTGTTAAAAAATGTTGGATTTTGATACTCAATAAATCTCACGCTATGATGTAAACGTTATATTGAATTTCATAGGCATTGACCGATGAGTGAAATTATTAACAACAACCAAGTCCAAATGCCCGACTCGAAAACAACGTGAACCGTAGGAAGTAGCTTAAGAAATGAATGTTACTCACGTGCCACGGCCCATATATATTACCTCGTCTTTGCCATAATCGTTTGTGTGTGATTTGTGAGAAAAAAAGAAGAGAAAAATGTGTGCCTTCCCTTTGATTTTGGTCTCCTCTTTTGCCTTTTTTCATTGTTTCTTCTTTCTTGTCTTTGTGGCTACAAATCATTACCCTTATCTTGTCCTTTATAGGTGAGATTGTGGAGCAATCGAGATGAATATATTGATTGTGGATTTGAGTCATCTGGATTGATTGTTTGGTAGAGAAATATAACGTGAAATTGAGCCCGAAAAACATCGTTGTGAAGATCCTTGAAGTGAACTTCCACGACAAATGGTATCAAATGGTATCAGAGTTTCAAGATGATGGATTTCGTTAAAAAAACTGACCAAAAACTGATCAAAAAAGCGGTAGAATCGAAGTAGAAATCAAATCGAAAAACTATCTAAAAACTTTCAAAAATCAAGGCATTTTCGTGATTTTTGATTAAACCAAATGGAATTTGGTGAAACAAAGACCACCAGCGTGACATGCAGGTGAAGGTGCACCAGACTGGCTGGTTCGTGAGGACGTCGACGGCTTGTGAAGCTCACGTCCAGAGGTTGTTGGTGGCGTGTGGCGACACGTGCAGAGTTTTTTATTAAAGTTGCCTTCGACAATTGTTCCTAACATCATTTTTGACATTTTGGTATTGTTAGTTTTCTGTTTCAAGTTATACAGTAGAATCTGAACAATTTTTTCCTTTACGCATTCAGGATTCGATCGTGATTGATTGATTTCTACGATTGCAGGATACTTTAGGGCCAATAGTAATGGCCTTAAAGTGATAAATTCACACATCTTATTATTTACGGACTCAGATTGGTTCGCTCTTGTTTATTGTTTTATCCCAATTTAAATTTTAGTAACAGCACGTCATCATGTAGGGTGAGATTAGGATTATGGTTACCGTGTGAGGCAACCATTACTTGTGCTAGCAATTTAGGAATTATTTGCTCTGTTTGAAATGTTGAATTTGATTGCAAGTTGGTAATTGTTTTAGTGCTTTAATTGTCATTTAGTTATTGTGTGAGACTGCATTGTGTGAAAATTTGAATTTTTTGTTGTCTTACATTCATGTTAAAACACTTAGACTTGACCCGTTTTGAACATTCCCTTGATACTGAAATCTCGAGTCTCACGAAATCTTGAGAATTTAGAATGGTGTATACTGTCGCTTTAAGATTACTTTGTGTGAACTATCTGTGCACTTTAGTTGTTCTGTTTTTTCAAAATATCTTTCCATTTCGAAATTGAAATTTTCAATAAAAAATAGAATATTTCAATTTGATACCAAAAAATGAAGGGAATTTTGGTTCAACAAAAAGTTTCAAATGTCATAGATGGAAAATGTCTTGCAAATTCGACAAAAGCACAAAAAGAAGAATACAATGAACTTGCTTAAACTTCAATTATTTTACACTATCAACACTGTTTTGAGAAAAGTTGGTAAACTTGATACCACGAAAGAAACTTGAAAAAAGTTGAAAGGCTTATATTTATTTAAGTTTACTTCTAATAAGTTGTACTTGCTTGAAAATTTTTCAATTTTAAAATGGATCTTTCAAAAGATCTTGCTAATAATTTGGATATTTTTAACAATCTTGTTCAAGATATTGGTAATTGTGATGAGAATGTGTCTGAAATTTAAAAAGTCATCATTTTTCTTAATTATATGCCTGATTCATATAAATAGGTTAATAATGCAATTAAGTATGGTAGGGGCACATCAACACTCGAGATTGTTGTAGATTCCGTTAAGAGTTAGGAGATGGAGAATAAGGATAAAAAAGAGGATAAGAGGAGTCGTGAGTTTCATATCATGAGGAGTAAAATGAAATTTAAGCGTATAAATTTGGGTGGAGTAAAATGAAATTTAAGCGTATAAATTTGGGTAGAGCTCAAGACAGTAGTGACTCGAGTGATGATGGTAGTAAAAAGAGGGACAAGGAATATAACGAGTTTAGTAGTAGACGGTGTTATAGTTGTGGTAAGGTCCACATTTTATTAGGGATTGTCCTAAGAAAAAGGATAAGCAGAAGGGTAAGATGAGAGGTAAGGATGTCAAAATGGCTCGTCAGCTTGGGCCGCCCGTGGCTTGGCTTTGAAAAGCTAAACATAGTT